TCTGACTTTTTTAGAGCAGGTGCTTTTGTTGCTTTCCAAAGTCGGTGATATGCGTTTTCACTCAGCACAGACACAGAAGCCCCAGTGTCCACTTCCATTTTCAGATCAGCACCATTCACCTGCAGTGTAGCATAGATGGGCTCTGCCTTGGGCTGGCTGATGGCATGGAGATTGAACATGTTATAAGAAGACTCTTCCCCTTCCTGAGGCTCCTCTTCCTCCTCCTGCAGGTGATGAGCAGACTTCCTTGGCTTTCCACCCCATTCCTTCTTTTGTTTGTTTTTGCCCCTGCACACTTTGGCTATGTGACCCCTCTTCTGACAGTTGTGACACAGAGAGTCTTTGAAACCACAGTCAATTGCAAAGTGTGGTCCCCCACAACGGTAGCACTCCATGGACTTTTGGTGCTTACCCGTCTTGTCTTTGGTCACGTGATGCACCGCGTCCGATTGCATCGCTCCTCCACTTGCTTGTTGAATATCTTTTATGTTATTTGCCACGGTTTCCATTGCCTGGGCGATCTCCAGTGCTCCTTTGTAAGTGAGCTTGGCTTCACTCAACAACCGCCGTTGAATACTGTCGTCATTAATTCCACAGACTAATCTGTCACGCAACATGTCAATTAGGACATCTCCAAACTCACAGTGCTCTGATAATGCTCTGAGTTCCGCCACATATGCAGGCACTGACACTCCCTGCTTGCGTGAATGCGTGTGGAACTTGAAACGCTGCACAATCACTGATGGCTTGGGGTTATGGTGGTCTTGCACTAGTTTAACTATGTCCTGGAAGCTTAGATCTCCCGGTTTCCGTGGTGACGCTAGGTTACGGATCAGTTTGTATGTCTTGGCTCTGCATACACTGAGAAGAACTGACCGTTGTTTTGACTGGTCATTAATGTTGTTTTCTACGAAAAAGTGCTGCAGTCTCTCGACATATTCCACCCAATCCCTGTCAGTCTCCACATACTCACTGAGCGTCCCAACGGTTGCCATGGTTATGACTTAAGAGTGCGTTGCTCCATTTTAAATTGGCCGTCCGCTTCACAGTTTTAATCCTCGTCGCCAGTGTAGTAACCGAGTGTACAAGAGTAAATCCATTCAATCCACACGGAGGCAGGGGACTTGAGTTCTCATTCTTTTACTTAAGAAAAATCATCCGGCAAAATACAACAGTGCCAACTGGGACGTCCCACACTAAAAACTGGCCCCCGGAGGGGCAACCCCAAATTTGACTATAGTTCCGTCCCTAATATTTCCCAATATATTGATATTATATAATATATTTGTCTTTGAGTTGATCTACCAGCTGTTCTTCAAGATCGTTGGCAGTATCATCTATACGTCTGGCGATCTTTGGACAGAGGGATGGTTTTAAGTTTTGCTGTACTGGTGTCGTCCAGCATGACAGAGACCATGTCTAAGGCTGCAGGCAGTATCAGCTCCTCTGCTATGGTGTGGGGCTTTTTGCACTGCACAGTTTAGTACGCCACCTTATTTGATGCTAACAGCGCTCGATGGTTTACTGAAGTAGCCTTCACAAAGCGGGATGATTGTTGGCAATATTCAGCACGTTTCCGCTGAAAAAACTCTAGCGGCTTATCGGCGTGATTGGGGTGTAAGGTATTTATATGGCGTCACATTTATGTCAAAAGTCCACACGCGCAAAATGAACCTTCCAGCGCGCAGATACAGTATTCGCGCACAAATTCAAAGGATAACTCTGCTCGCGCAGTGGAATTCTGCTCGCGCGCAGTGGATTTCTGCTCGCGCGCAGTGGATTTCTGCTCGCGCAGTGGATTTCTGCGCGCGCAGTGGATTTCTGCTCGCGCAGTGGATTTCTGCGCGCGCAGTGGATTTCTGCTCGCTCGAGTCTACAGGACGTTTAAAAATTTGGGGGCGGTATGATTATGATTGGTCACTTTCGTCGTGATGACAACCACAGGGCCTTGTACCTTGATTGACAGCTCCCATTACAGGAAGGACGGAGTCAAAGAATCTGACGGGGTTCAGGTAACAGCGGACGGAATGGCGGCGACACATGAAGATGTAGGCTTAAGTGATATTGATATATGATGGGGGCTGTGCAGTCTAACAATGTAGCAATTATTTTAAAATTTGTTTGGAATATGTAAGTAGTTTTAGTCGTTGCTGCATGTGTAAAACAATGGCCAGAAGTCTGTCTGTATCAGTCATACCCCCCCCACACACACACTTTGAAATTTAATAACGAATATGTATCCAGTATATTAAGGAGTGTTAATTTCATGTTGTTTTGCACTTCAACAGGACATGGTCAGACGTGAGATTATTTCCAGGCTGATCATTAAGTTAGAGTCAGCGCTTTCAAGGATGCCTCTTGACTTGGACTTCTTACAGTTTGCATGTCGGCAAGAGCTGTACCTCTGGGAAGCACTGTCAAGGCATGTAAATGTCCCCCCGGATATTGTACAGGCCTTAAGAGAGTTCCTCCAGCTGGTCATGGACCGCATTGAAAATGCTGAAGTTACCAACAATACTGTTGAAACTGTAGCTGGAGAGATGGGGCGTCCCAGGTACAATCTAGAGAAGCAGAAACTTGTAGATCTTTTGGAGATCAATCTGTCTGTGGACTGCATCGCAAAATTACTGTGCGTTTCAGCCAGTACAGTCAACAGACGGATGCGGGAGTTTGGACTCTCTGCCAGACAGAACTACAGCAATGCTACTGACCAGGAGCTTGATAATGCAGTCCAACGCATCAAAAATGAAATGCCCACAGCTGGCTATCGGATGGTCAAAGGGAGGCTAAAGTCCATGGGAATCCACGTCCAGTGGAGCAGAGTTACTGCATCAATGCATCGACTGGACTCGCTTGGGATTCTTTCTAGACTCACTGGAATGGGCTGCATTGTGCGAAGAACTTACTCTGTCAGGGGGCCCCTTTCACTGTGGCATGTCGACACTAACCACAAACTGATCAGGTCAGTACTGTACAGTACAGATTGATTTATTTGTAAAATATTATGATGCAGACACTGATAGATCTCAAAGCATAAGTATGTTGCCATGACATTTCTACAAATCAATCCAGGTTGAAACTGTTAATGTAGGTCTTCATTTTGTGCCCATCAGGTACAACATTGTACTTTTTGGTGCAGTGGACGGCTACTCCAGAAAGGTACGATTTCATTTAACTGGGACCCTCTGTGTAAGCAAATTTTTTATGATTTACACCAAGTAATTACATGTTGCATTCAGATGGCTAAAATACTACCCTGTTGATGTGGGAGAAAAAGTTATTATACAAGGTGCCAAATGATAGTAAGGGTCATGAAGGTGTGTTAAAATATCAGATTCCCTGAGGCATGAAGGGACCAGAGTGTAATCCAATTGTACATGTAACATATTGCCAAATAAAATAAAAGTGAATGTATATTTATGAAAATGTCTGATAACACAGGTGGTGTGCTTGAATGCTGCAACAAACAATCGTGCATCAACCGCATTCACTGCCTTCAAAAAAGCAACTGAGAGGCATGGAATACCCTCAAGGTAAGATTTTACAGGCTTCAAGGTACAGACGCAAATATGATGGATGATATGCAGGGATTATATTATATCAGGGATTATAATTTCCTCACAACACTCTACTTCTTTCTGCTCTCCCACTCATAGCCTTACACCTCCCTTATATTACCTGCTTGTACTGATCTCTAGTGGTATATGCTGAACTCGTGACACATGTATAGATATATAAACATAGACACAATGTAGCACTTTAGTTCAGTGTATTGTACACCACTGACAGATTTTAACACACTGGTCATCTGTGTGCATTTCAGGGTGAGAGGTGATCAGGGAGTGGAGAACGTTGAAATAGCTCGATATATGTTCACTGTACGTGGAACTGATCGGGGAAGCTTCATGTCAGGAAAAAGCGTCCACAATCAAAGGTTTTTTTGTAATTTGAATGCTTTTACCAAGCTAATAAAGAGGTCTATTGTGTGTAAAATCATAACACTTACATTTTCTCATGTTATCAAGTCCTCGATGGTTAAAATAATTTCTAAATCCGTAGGATTGAACGTTTGTGGCGGGATGTCAGAACATGTGTGACATCAAAATATTACAACGAACTCCACAGCCTAGAGATGGATCACCTTCTTGATGTGTCCTCCAGTGGTACGGGTTTGGCTCATCATATTGTGCCATTTTTCGTCTACTTTCTATAGATTATTTAATCTTACTACCCATTCAATACAGGAGGTCTTTATCCCCTGCCAGGCCATTATTGTAAATAAGTAACTGTTCTTATAAACTTGCCTGGTATAAAAATAATTATGACTTGAGAAAACATTAATGGCTGGTTGTATATCATTGTAAAGAAATTTAGAAATGGTTAATACTGGAAAACAACAAATCAATGAGATGTATTTACAAAAGTATATGCAATGCTTAATGTTATGTTTTCAAAGCTCACCTGTGAAAATTAACATACTCCTACCCTGTCCCTTTATAGAAGATCTTTTGACAGTCCACCTGGCATTACTTCCTAAACTAAAAGCAGACCTGGAGGCTTTTGTTGAAGGTTGGAACAACCACCCACTGAGAACAGAAGGGAATAAAACTCCCGAGCAGATTTGGCACTCAGGAATGATGCTTCGACCAATTGACCAGCCAGAGAATCTTGAGGTTCTTTTTTTTTTTCTTTTGTAACAATTTTATATCCAAAATAAGCTGTTAATGGAACCTTGAAATGGCCCACCAGGCACTAAGCACTGTAACACACATCTTCAACTGGTGAAACAATCACAATTGATGCAAATGTTGGTAATACAGTTCACATGCACTGAGCAACCTCTTCATTAGGTGCACCTGCAATATTTAACACCAAAACGAATATTTACGCACATGATCAAATCAATCTGTTGCATAGTTCTACAAACACCCTAAATGTTTATATCTTCAGATAATTTTGAAAAGCCAAACATTTGGGATGAACAGATTACACGATATGCTGTAAAAATGGGATGACTAATGATAGCAGTATTTTTCTGTCTTGTTCGACCGTCAGGACATTGAAGAGCCGGACATTGACTGGGATGTTGCAGCTGACTATGGAGAAGATGTGGATGGTGTGATAGCAGTCCCTGAATTTCAGTGTTCATTGAATGAACAGCAGCTACGCGTGCTTCAGGTGCTGATTGAAGAAAATGGAGAAGCTGACATTAGAGACATTTACCTTCTGTGTCGTGAATATGTGCTTCAAGCTTTGTCAGGTGTTTAATAATTGTTTTGGTGATGAGAAAGTGATGTAAATAAAATATACAACAACCACAGTTAAATCTTTAAATTTATTCTTTTTAACAATAGAACAACTTTGTTGTACACTTGTTTGTACAAAGTATAAAATGGAAACAAAGCACTAAAAGGGTCATTTAACAAGGCCCTTAAAATGCTACCTTAGTGCCTGCTGAACTCGAAACCACCACAGATTGCCTCAATTAGGTTGTTTTCAAACTCCTGGGAGGTGGCTAAATGGCGTGTAGGAAAAGTAATGGAAACTGCACATGCATTGACAATGGGGTAACAAAGACTATGTGCCCCATAGCGGGAGTTGCAGTCATGTTCAAAACTAACGGATATCTTGAACGCCTCTCTCTTGGATTCAATCAGTGGAACGTGTGCCTGTCCTGTGACCCACTGAAGGAAGCTCCTGACTGACAGGCGCTTCCCCCCAACATTTGTTCCCTGCACAACTTCCACATGATTTTCACCATCAGGGCTTCTCTCTTCTTGGCTGTCTGCTTCTTCTCAGAGACAAATACAAAGAATTAATTGCCAACATTTCTGTTAGTCCTTTATTTTATTTATATCATTTTATGAAGCCTAGATTGTGATACATTGCATTTCTGTATGTTACAGTTTCACAAACTGAACTATCATTGAAGTAAACTTCATTAACCAGTCATCGCTGACTTTCTTCATCGTTCAAGATTGTTTAGCTGTTCGGATAGCTGGTGCGAGTATCCAGCGAGGCCAGTAACAAACGCTAATAAAGAGAATAAAATGAAATCGGCGGATAACAAGTTTGATAGTAAAGTTAAAGTTATGGACTATATGATGTATTATAGAAAAAGGTGCTAAGCAGTGTTTTACCTCTGTCTTCCAAGTTTTGCAAGAAATCCTGCAGAAAGTTGATGATCCGCATCTCTCGCTGCCGTCTCACAGACCCCTCCTCACTGAAATCAGGAGAAAGTGCAAGCAGAAGGAAGTCTGCATTCACCTAAAATAAGAAAGCAAATCAAATCCTTAAACACAGTAAAAAAGTAAGGGTTGCACATTGAAATTAAAGATTCATTTTATGTTTTGGCCTGTAGCGTTTAGCTCTTTGAACACATTTGAAGGCAGCTTAAAGTAAAAATGCAGAATATGCTACAAGAGCAAGTTGTCAATGTCAGTGGCTGTTCTAATAAAATAATTCTTCAATCACAATGTTACAGACTTCCTGTAAGTAGCCGGGGACAAAGAGCTGCTGGCACATCTCGGTGTGGAGCGCTAACACCTCATCTAATCCATAGAGCCTCAATCCTTCACGCAGCTGGTTCAAGATTGGGATCAGCCTCACCAGTGCATGCAAAGCGATGGCACTAATAAACAGTAAGAAAACACTGTATTGATTCAGAGTTAAATTAACACTATTTTGTGACAAATATTTCAATACTATGTATCAACTTACTCTATGATGGCCTTTTTTTGGTCAACATTTATTGGCCCAGTGTAGCCACATGCCACAATCGCATCTGATAAGTCTATCAGCCTTTCTCCACCTTCAGCATTTTCCACCTGAAAGAGACATATTAGCATGTCATGATATTTGCAAAAGATAAACATTTTCTGATAACTGTATATGCCTGACTTGGAAAAATGAATGCATTAAACTGTTTCAATACCTCTTTCATCAGATTTTTAAGATCCTGATCAGTGACTTCGAGTACACCAACATCCGTGTCCATCTCCCCGTGGCACAAGAAATGGTAGCACCATCTTGTAAGGAAGTTTGGTGCAGGTCCCCCCTGCACCAAACTTGTGGCAAAAATCTCCCCACAAGTCCTTTGGCAACAAAGACAAAAGCTATTTTGAACAAAATGGCAGTGGACTTTTACTAAAAAATTAAACAATCAAAAGTCATATTTTATGAAAGACTGTGGCACATACTTGAAATTCTTGTCCTGGTAGTCACAGATACTGTATTTAGGGTTTTTGCCCCTTTCCCCATCTCCTTCAAAAAAACGTGCTTCAATTCCACACACCATTTCTGTAAAGAACAAAGAACGGCTTTTGTCAAATGTATTAGAAATGTATGAGATATTATTCAAACTGATAATCTCTTAAATGTGCTTTTCATCATGTGTTGACCTTGGTAGGGCACACATACCGGTAAGGAACTCTTTACGAAGAGCACCTTGGTCTATTCCATTTTCTCCAATGAAGGAGACCTTGAGGAGATTCTTTGGGGAGGCCTGTTTTTGCCTGACCCACTGTTTCAGCCCCCTTTGAAACAAGTCCTCTCTTGTCACATTGATGTTGAATGACCGGGATGTGTCAACTTTCTTTTCAAGTGACATCAAGATGTCTGATGCGCTACACAACAATATCAAAACAATATTGTTGATAATTCTGCGCTACAGACCAAGACAAGCACCATTAAAATCTATTCTACAGCATACCTGCTGAAGTGCTCGTCTGTGTCCTCACTAATATCTGCATCTCCCTCCTTTGTATTGCTGTAAAGATCAACAATAACAAAACATTTAATAAACAAATAACCTTAATCCATCATCTGTCCAAATTCTTTAATAAAAAGGGGGGACGATGAGGGAACTCAGACACAGTGGGATTAAGCATTTTAAGAAAGTGGATACAAAATGCATCAAACTTTGTAAGATACTAAAAGAAACTTAGAAAAGCTTTTACCTCTCCCCGCAGACACTTGCATGCACATAGATGTAATCCTTTGTAAATAGTTGACTGCACAATGGACAAGCAACCTATGAAAATAAGAAATAACCCTGCTAAATTATCAATTAAAAATGCAGATGTAGCGTTTCAGAGGTCTGATGTAAACATGCTCTTTCACAGGTTAATTCTTAAAACCTAAACCTTATTTAGAAAATCAAGCAATTTGATGAAGCACTGCAGTTTGCTCACCTTACTCTCCAAATGTGATGGCTGATCACCAGATGCCTGTAAACATTACTGTGTCATTCACATATTTACTGCAAATAAAATCATAAATGTATGGCTTGATATTATGAAATACTATGTAGGATCTCTTCATTTGTATTGATAGCTTACCACTTCATCGTCCAACTTGATAATGTCATCATCACAGTGGGTCTATAAAATGAAATATCAAGAGTGATGACTTACAAAAAACAATTTCTAAACAACAGTGTCAGATGTAATTTCCCACCATCCAATAGTTGCTGTGAAATTTAAGAAATGACAACACCAACCTGTACATCAAAAAAGGAGAAAGAACATCAATGTTATAGTTTCAAGTCAGCAAGCCATACCTCAACCTTGCCTTTACACTGGAGACATGTCTTGACATGGAGACTGAGGAGCTGCAGAGGCACATACTCCTGACATGACACACACCGGGCTTTCGGCATGGCCTGGAACTCCACGGCTGTGAAGGGTAGGGGAGAAATGTCCAGTGTGTTCTGGATGGGCATAATGTAAAGACAGCCCTTGCCTCCCCAGCTCTTCACAAGACTGGCCCCTTTATATCCTTCCTCTTCTGGTGTCAACAAGTTCAGTTTTCGTTGACCTGATCCTCCTGTTTAATTTCAAATATTAAACAAACATTTATTTTCTGCCCCTTGTTGGAAAGATCATACTTTTCAAACATGACAACTTTACAACAAACAAAAAGATTCAATAAATTTCCTTTGCTTAGAGAAAAAAAGTAAACTCTTGCTTTTTACCCATGGCTTTGTGCAACATCCAGGCACCCTCCAGATCTGACATCTTTGGATATGTCTCAGCAAGAATGTTTGCAATCTATGAATTTAAAGTATGCGAGTAAGATTAGCGAATATTTATCAAATAAATGAGCTCAAGACAAATCTGTTCATAACACCTATTGGCAGCATTCCAAAACTGAATGAAATGGTTTTGGTGGCTAAGATTGGGGCTACTGTTTTCACTGGATATGCTGTTTTAGTATAGGTTAATGTTTTGTGAAAATTTCACTTCTTACTTCATTAAGTGTCATACCACATACCTCATTATGGCCAGCATCCTCTGGGACATTTACAGTCCTTATTCCTAACCCAGCTTGTAAAAGCATTAGCTCATCAGATGGTTTGGGGGTTCTCTCTGTTGGGCTGTCCAGAAGGAAGAATGGGATTGGCGTTGTTTTGGTGCCTGACCTTTTTTTTGACAATCGCGAAGGAGGCCTACAGTTCTGCTTATCTTTAAATAGTCCAGGGAAACACCTGTGGTTAGAGTAGATGAAATAAAATTAATTTGAATCAGCAGTCAAACAACTGTGTGAGGAACTGAAGACGGCTGCTATTGAAACATTTGAGATGCATCCTTTGAACAACATCCAAACCTGGCCATGTTCTGTTGAACTGCAGTCCCTGAAGGTACCTGTGTAGGTACACGCACCACACTGTGCTCTTGTGGTTCCTGGGATGTGTTCTGCCTGGATACCCTGGCTGAGCTTGACTGTGCGTTGCTGTGCCCCTGAACTTCATTGTTCATTCAACACAATTAATTCACTGACATCATAGCATGTTTTGTGTTATAGGCTAAATGAATAGGTAAGCTGTATGATAATGACAGCAACACTTACATGACGATTGCAATAACTTGTTCCAAAAACAGTATTTGTATATTGTTATATGTATACAGGGAAAGCAACATAATGTAATGAAAGCACACATGTTGTCTAGAGATGGCCACCTAGTAAACACAGTAACTCATGATACATACTGTTTGGTGTTGGATTATTCAATGTAGCTCTCAGCCTGGAGACCAAATTGAGGGCCAAATTTCGCAAATCGTCCGAGAAGAATGGGGAGAAATAAAGAAATGTAACGTTACCTGAAACAAACACCACCACATATGAACTACTTTAACGTAATAAACATTTTTGAAAATAGTTCACCTCTTCTTTTGCGTCTGCCACTTTCTCTTACATCTATAAGCGGGAAGATGGGTTGGATCCATACAAAAATACAATAACGGACAATGTGAACATGTGGCTCAGTTACCCAACATTCAAAACAGTACTCTACAGTATCAAACGCCTTCTTGAAATCCAAAAAGACTGCCCCAACACAGGTGGTTTTATCAAGCAAGGACTTCACTGTTTCTATGAAGACACAGTTTGCCGTCTCTGTGGAGTGGTACTGGCGAAACCCAAATTGCATGGGGTGCAGGAGAGAGCGGCCTCGGCTGAGGTGTTCGTTTAACAGTTTAGAAACCCACTTCTCTGCAACCTTAGATACAACAGGGAGAATGCTGATGGGGCGATAGTTTGAAATATTTGTTTTGTCTCCTGATTTAAAAATTGGTGAGACTGTGGCCACCTTCCAGCCTGATGGGACAACTGTCAATCTGATTGATAAATTAATGAGATGTGTTATTGGGCATACCAGTGTATCTCTATGGATTTATAAAAAGTGTGTGTATGGATACTAAAACGCTGTATATGGATACAATACTCATTTTCAAAAGAATCGATACCACCCCCGCCGCACCCCGCTAGGCTGACCTGCCGACGCTGAGGCCCCTTCTCTCTGATTCATTTATTTATTTACTTACGTTGTTTATGATCATTAACGTGACGTTAGCCTGGAATTGCTAGCTGCGGCTAATTGCTAATAATAACACGCCAACATTAATCAAGTCCCAAAAAAACAAAAAAACATCAACAAACCATAAACTCGCAATATTATTTAGGAAAATAGCAAAGTTTTACTCAAATGGCCTTGATAGTAAATCGCACAG